TCTCTCTTCCTCTATCTAACTCTCTCACTCTTTCTGTCTCACTCGTTTTCACGCTAAATATAAATTATTTTCATTTTCATAGCACGTTCTTGATTAACTTTTACGTGTAGCGCCTGATTCTCTTGCAATTAAGGTTTTATCTATTGAAGGCAATCAAATGCACTCAGTCAATGGCATTTTAAGAACTTATTGTTAGTCATCAGTGTAGCACCAAATTCTCTTGGTATTAACCGATTATTTCCAGAGAGAATGGAATGCCTTTAGTCATTTTCATTTTCGTAGCGTGTTCTCAGTTAACTGCGCTATTTAGCACCCGATTTTTTTACAATTAACTCATCATCTCTTAAATAGAATTAAGTGAACTAAGTGATTTTTATCTTTATATTATATTCTTGGTCAACTTTTCCGTATAATAAGCTTTATGACATTCGGTTTAAATTGACTTCAAGTTTAATTCAATGAAAAACTCACGCACTGCTCGTACAAAGTGCAAAATATTGCACGTAAAAAAATGAGGAAAGCCATTCGATTTTATGATTGGATATTATACCAGCTTAGTTGAAAAGACGAATCTGTCGTATATAGCGGATTGTTGGAACCGATCGGACGTCCGCGCGTGCCACTCGATGCTGTTGGTGGCATCAGTTAGATAAAGCTTTCGAGTAGCTCGTAAAAAAGAGAGCTCGAGTGGCTGGACGAACTCGTTCTCTTTTCGATGTGCGATCTTTATGTTCCTCGCGTGTTTCCGATTGAGATCTAAACGAATGAAAAATCACTCTTTCAATTTGTTTTATCAAGATTTACTAAGGTCTGAACGTTTTCATTTTAAAAGCGAATGCAACGTTGAACCGAAACATGCTCGACTTATCTAAAACAACGGAAATCCTACCCAAAAACATAAAGTACCGCCGATCTCGCGTCCAAATAACTTTCAAGCTGCTTCTCTCCGGAAAAAAGGAAGAAGAAAAAAGCTTTTTGTACAACTTGCCGCATATTGGCGTGATCCATGAAAAAACCGAGTGGACGATCGAGAGGACCTCTTTTTTCTCTCTGTCTATGTGTGCACAAGCTGCTAGGCTAATCCAACAGGAAAACCTTTCGACTCTTTTTATTTTCTTCGATTATTTCTTTGTCTTTCGTAGCTGGGCAGATCCTCTAGCTTTCGGCCTTGTCTTTCGGATAGTTAATCGGATTCCAGACTTTGATGGAAAATGGACCGACTGTGTGCCTTCGTTAAGCATTGAAGTGTGGTAGATTGGTATGTTAATGGATGTTCGAATAACTTAATATTCAATTTTTTACTTTTTAATTTTTTTTGCTTCATCGTTCACTTCTTTCAACTCGAAATCTACGTTTTGTTTCGAAAAATCCTATACATTTTCACAAAAATGATCGGATCATCGTTATTCGTTTCGTTCGAAAAGTAAGTAATAAATCATTTCCCGGGGAAAATATTCAAACATCAATCATCGCACTTTCAATTCCGCAAAATCGCGAAGCAAATATTCACTCGACAATCATTGTTTCGTATACATGCGCTCGCCTGATCTGAAAATAATATACATGTCCGCGCACGCCAGAGGAGTTATATAATCAGCACACGAATTTATTGGCTTGATCAACATGTTAGCTGGAGGCGCGGACGCGTTAAGTGCATTTAGGCGCGCCGCAACATAGATTCTTATTGCAATTCTACATCAGTGGGCATAAAACGATAATTTACTGGCGGCAACCTCGATTTTTGCCGTGTGCAGACATACATCACACTTGCTTCCCAATTTTGCGACGTATCGCGAATATAGTGCTCGCGAGTGTGCATACAAAGAGATAAGAGCTTTTTCTCTTTAGCGTAATGCTTAAATTTGCAATACACGCAAGAATGCCATTCTAATCCGATAGTTTTGTCGTAGCCATTTCACCGAGTACTGTAGTTGTCTCGATAATCAATAGACATCCATGCGTGCAAGTGTATCAATTTTCTTTCTGCAGGAATGCAAGTGTTATGAATTCATCTCGAAAGCTGACCTTATAAAAAAAGGAATTGAGAAAGATGAAGTTGGACATTTGGTCGAAGGGGGGGGAGAGAGAGAGAGAGAGAGAGCTGACCTCGTTTACGCGCCTCACATTATCATAGATATTGGCTGGCAAGGCTAAGGGTCTTCATAAATAAAGAATGGTCAAGGAAATCTGCCCGAGAAAGCCCGACTCTAACTCTCTTTTGTCTGCAATGAGACGACAAAAGTTTATATGACAACAAGGCATTGACGAGCGAAGCGCCTTCTTGAATTTCAATCTCCCGTTCTTTTGTAGAAGCTGGATGCAGTAATGCGATTTTTTTGTTCTTCTGCTTCTTAGTTTCGCGTGCATATCTGTGCCTGCATGCGAGAACTTTTCTGCTGATGTTAGCTACGTGGGAAAAGTTAAAAACGAAAAGACGAGCGCGCCTTGCATATTCACTACACATTGCACGTCAGGGTGTGACTTCTATTTATGAGCAATTAGTCTTGACATGTTTACTGGACATTGGAACCTCCAAGCGAGCAGCCTTCACTCAAGATAATTTAACTAATGCCGTCTGCTTGAATGCCGTGGTTTGACGTATGTTTGAGCCTGAACAAAAATCGATTGCTAGCAGAAGAAGAATGCAACTCAAGGGAGCAGCTTTAAAACTTTAACGGGGGTTTCCAGGGATGTCAAGGGAGAAAACGACCTCGCACAAGATAAAATGCCAATGACAAAGAGATGGGGGAGGATTCATAGATAAATAGCAGTTAAGGCTTTCGATAGATCGCGTAAATCGCGGAATCCAGAGAGTATCGTTCGGAAATGATAATATTTCACGTTTTATCTCGACGTTAAACAGTGAAAGATATCATCTATAGCAATTGCATGCTCGACGTATACTTGGTTTGTTTAATGCTGCAATTTACTTGTTCTACACGAGCCACTTATTCTTTCAACATTGTCAGTTGTGCCACGATAACAGGCGACTAATCAGTGTTATTTCATATCTGCGAACGCGCAGTTGTCGCCAACTGCTTGGCAAAAGAAGGACAAGGGGTGAGAGATTCGGAGTAATCTCGATGAGCTCTCCATTGGGCCTTCGAACTAGACGATTACAGGATGATCCTCGACAAATACATGCGCTTTCAGCTATGTTCTCCTTGAAATCGGATTGATTGCCTTCCGCTCGCACCACATTACTCACACACCATGTAAACAGCGCACTGTGATCTGCATTCATGTACGTACGTATGTATACGCGGAACACGCACCTCTTGCTTATTGAACTTGTATCGCGTGCTTGCTACATTGCGATTTTGCTTAATTGCGTTTGTTTGAGCGCGAGGTCGTTTATTCGTACGATGCCTTTGCGTCGAATGAAAAATCTAGCAGCTAACGGTTTTTATTTTCGATATTTACCGAGTTACCGAGTATCTTTGAAATATACAGCGAATTCCGTAGGGGCAAGCTGGAGCAAACCGGCTGCTTGGCGGTTCAATAATAAAGGAAGATATTAAAGTATTTCATGTTTTAGTATTTTCATAGGTATAATAAACAACTCACCTTATTCAAATCGTTCAACTACGGTACGCTGTTCTCTTATTTTTAGAGAGATTTCAAATTTTCAAAAGATTTTCTCTGCAGCAAGTTATTCGACACTCGTTGATTTTCTGAACTCTATAGTTCCGCTTTCAACATTTTTTTTCTCGTGAAAAATCAGTTCTCGTATAATAATCATTTTTATAATGCATATACTACAAGATAAAGTTTATTATATACATTTATTCTAATATTTTATATAATAACAATAAAATAATGATGTAAAAACAAATCGTGACGAATGTGAAATCAGAGCCGAAACCTTCATCGAACAAAAATATTCCAATTTCCTCTTCTGGTGTTATTCCACGAGTTATTCAAAGCATTCTTGTGAAATTTTAGCTTTCAATAGAACTTGCAGTCGGTGAAAAACAAAATCAGATAGCCCCATTATAAAAAGCTCGACTGTAGTCTCTAAAATAAAGGGCCATTCCCACGCCAGTTCTAATGATATATATATATATATATATATATATCTATTAGTTTGAATGGGCGGGGGGGGGGGGGGGGAATAAATTCAACGCGTAAGAGCGCTTTTCTCAGGCAGAAGCGGTAAGAAGGTAAGTTAAGTGTAAATTGGCGCTCGCGTACCGCTCGGAGTAGCGGCGCTGCTGCTACTCCGAGCGCTAGACAAACGCGAGCCTCGAACGACCCAATGTGGTAGATGGCGAAAGGTTTAGCCTTTTATTCCTATATATTTCGTGGATTGTGACCATTGGAAATCGTTAAGCCACTTTCGGAGACGTAGATGCGAGGGAAGAAAAAAATTGGGCTTCCAGAGGTATCGCGCGCTTTTACAGCGAGCAGCCAATTAGTTATCGCTACGAAAAAGTTTTCGTTTCTCGCTTTCACGTTTACCTGTCATTATCGCGGTGAATTGTACGATAAACCGGAGCCAACCGCGAAAATTACTCTGAACACCGTGATAAGCTTCGGGCATTTTAAATGAGCTTTCGTTGTACCGCTTCAAAACGAAAACTAAGCTCTTTAGCGAAGCGGTACAAACGTCGATCTACGCTGAAAATTCTCAAATAAATTTACCTCGATACTCGACGAGGTATTAGCGTCGAGTGGAACGTTACGAATTAAAATTATCCATAGGCCTCGACATTAAGCAGCCGCAGACAGTGGCAACTGCACGATGCGAGAACCGTAGGCAAATAGAAAAGGCCAGAGAGGAGAAATAAAAATGCGGTTCGTCCAGGGTGGTGGGATAAAAAAGGTGGTAGTAGGGGGCTAGGCGAGAGCGAGAGAGCGAGAGCAGGCGCAACAGTGTGGCCATGCGCGGGCGGCGGTAGAAGGGAGAGTGAGAGAACGCTATCGGAAAATGGAGGGAGGGTGGGAGAAGCTTTGGCAACGTAAGCGACCCGGGCAGTGCAAGCCGGGCAGCCCGCCCGTTCGCAGCCGCGTTATATATATATACATATTTTACGCTTTATTATATACGTTGCATTGTACACGCATGCACACACACATACACACATATATATACGCACGCGCATCAAGTGGTATTTTTGTGAGGAAGATAACGAGAAAAAGACTATAATTAGGACTACCAGAGTAACAGGTTGGTTTCGACAATATACGATTTTATTGTTTATTTCTTTTTTTTTCTGCACTTTTTAAAAACAAAGATCATTCGTGTGTCAATTCTGATCGTAATTTGACTTGGGATAAGCGAGTTGTTGGTGTTTTATCGTTTACTTAGCAGCTTACGCGAGCGAGAGCTGAGTTTCGGAGGTTGAGTAGGAAACCTGTTGAAAATTCGCCAAGTTGTATCGAGCTTCGTCCTGGCTGTCTGTTTCCCTTATCAATTACCGCGTTGTCAGTGCGGAGCTTTATTGATTTTTCCAAGGGGATTGTTTCAATTCGATAAAAGAGTTTTTGTCAAAGATCAATCTTCGCTTGCTTTATTTCGCTCTCATTGAAAATCGAAACTAGGAAAAAATTGCGTACTCGTGATTATATTGAACATCGGCATTTCTTCCTTGGAGCGAGAACTTCATTTTGCGGTTTCACTCAACATTTAATCAGATTACCATTTCATCAACGCCCCATGGTATAATTGAAAAAGAAATTGCGGGGGATTGCGCGAGAGTGGTTACAAATAAAATGTGTCTTTGTGATTTTCTCGAAGACGCCGCATCATTAGATCTTCATTATACGAACTTTCCTCCAAAGTTATTTTGATCCTTCCCAACGTGTCCTGAAATGAGAATAAAATGATGTCGGAATATAACGCCAGTGCGTCTTCATTATTTGTTTAGGGAAGAATAGAATACGATAACTTTGTTTTCGGTGATCATTTTTTTCTCGTTGAATCGAAAAAGTGTTTTATAAAATAAAAGTATACGAATTTTGCTGTGATCATAGTGGCAATTCGAGGGAAATTAATTTCCCATACTCTTGAAACTTGAGCAAAGAACTCCAATCAACAGCCCTGGTCATAGCCAAATTATTTAATTTGACTAGTATCACTGCGTTTTCTAGCACACTTGTGGAAAAGGAGTTAAAACAACGGATTAAACTCTCTCGTGAAATTATTCCGTTTGGCGATTGGTTTGGTCAAACCCGTAAGCGCGCAGTTTAGTTTGCCAGGATGCACTCTTGTAGTCCATTGTGTTGCCCTGTTTTATCCTAGCCTCCTCTGATATCCTCCCAAACTTTGGAAATTCTATTTACATATATTTAGGCCAAACCCGTGATTCTGAACTCGACGCGCGCGCCTAAACGACTTCTTCATTCGAATGCAATCTCCAGACGCACTTCGGTGGTACAATCAAGATATTCGTAGTGTCTTTGCAGATATAACTTGAATCGCTTATTATTCAGGATACCGTTTTCAACTGTTTATATAATGTAAGCTTTCGGAGCAAATGGATTAAAAACCGCTGTTTTGAAAAATTTTCGCTTTTTACAGAACGTAATAATCCGAAGTTTAATTTTTCGTAAACTAAAACTTGATATCAATTGCAAATTAGTTAAAAAAACTTTTACTTTCACAAGCTAATCTTTGATAACAGAAGATAGAAAATATAAAATGCATCTAAAAATATGTGATTGATCATTTGTTTGGAATGAAAGCGTTTTTACGAATACAAATAATTCGAATGTTGGTGATTCTAAATAGCTAATCCAGAATAATCCGCTGAAACACAATTGAAAAGTTTTTTAATAAACACCACGAAAGAAAGGATGCAAAAATGAATTAAAAAAGTCAACGTTACAGTGAAAACGCAATTATTATAAAACTTCATCTCAGGAGTTAGAAACAATGGAAGAGCAGTTTTGTAAATGTGGCGTAGCGTGTATCGAGAAAGCAAACGGCTGAAAAGCTGGCAAACTGTAGTATCTCTCGACTGGCGTCCCTCACGGAAAAAAATGGTCTGAAATGCGTGTGGCCCATATTTTACATAATGGCACGCCGCTCTCGATCCTTTCGTTCTTCTCTCCTCTTTTGCAAAATTTCTCCTCGCGCGCAGTAGAGCAGATATACCGAGCAATTTTGCGAGTCGCTTGCTTCTGCATTGTGCTTTGCTTGTCGCGCGCGAAAAAAGTTTCAAAAGGCGTTAGTGTAGAGGGTGAGCTGAGCTTCAAGACAAGGACGCGAACGTTTTCTCTTTCTTCGTTTGTAGGTTCCGAGTTGGTCGTTACGATCTTTGAATTAAAGCTCGCCTTTTGACTTATAATTTCTGATCATTGTGATTGGCATTTAGAAATAGGCTGACTTTCGAAGCGCAGTCCTTAAAAACAGCTTCTTTCTTCCAAACAATTCAAACATAAATTATCATCGAGATTTTTCATTAAAACCACGGAAATGCTTGACCTCGGCTTTTGTTGAAAAGGCCACTTTCCAGCGCAAAGATTGAAGATAAACGACCACGGAAATGGAAAAAAACTATTAGCCAGCGAATGGTTATTTAGAAACTGCACTTTTAATTCGTCGAAACCAATTAAACTAATCGTCGCCTCGCATAAATTTTGCCCGACAGACGCACACACGCGAGGGCGCGCACGCGCGCAAATGGGTCACGCATAATGACTACGCAATGTATATCCTGGAACAATTACCGGGGAACATATATACGATTTCGGAAACTCTTCTACGTGTGGCAATTAACAGATGCAGTACAATGAGCACGATGAAATAAAAAATCCGACAAAAGTTTGCGGTATTTTGTAATTTAATGCTTTTCAACATTTCGTCGATTTCATATAAAAATATCAAAAAATTATTTCCAATTTTGCTTATTCAGATTAATGAGGATAAGTTTTATAGGCAAATAGAGAAAAATTTTGTGTCAAGTTTATTAAATTATATTAAATTTATTTTGAAAAGTTCTGCTTTACATACGTACAAGTGCTAATAATAACTTCGTAGGAAGCTAACGGTTACAACTAAAATAATTACAACATAAATAGTTTTCTAAGTATAAACGTTATCTTGGATTGTAAGAATTGAATTCAGTAGTTCAAGTTCACGTAATGACAGCCACTGCAGTGAAAAGCAAACGGTTGCGCAAGGAATTCCTTGTATCGAATGAAGAGTTAAAAAGGCCTTCGATCTGTATTTCATCTCATTGACAAGCTCACTAACGTACATTCGCGTATAACTAGGTCGTTTAAATATAACACCGCTTATTATCACTTTTCTTTTTATTCGCGTAACGAACGACGTAAAGAACAACCGTGGCATAAATCTTTGGTGCTTGATCTGAAGGAAAAGGGAATCCCCATGACTATTAAGCGAGATATACTTCCCGAATGTGTTTATCCAGGCGGGTTGCTTTGCCTCGAATAACTTATTTCTTCTTCTCGGGGAAAAACTTATGTGTATCAAGTCGTAAAAGCTCCTCGTTTCTATTTCAGGGGCGTCGTTGGATTTTTCTTCATAGAGTGGAAATGGAGTTTTGAAACTCGAATTTTGTGATATCCTCTGTATTGGACAGTACTTTTCCTTTTGATTGCTGAGCTATGTACGCCAGTTTCAATGAAAAGTTCAACGTTGCTATTTCTCTTACGTCATTCCGCCGTTTTTTTACGCTTCTCTTTCTAGAAAACAATCAGTTGCAAAGATAAAACTGCAATGTAACAACTGCTAACAACCAACTAGATTAATTAAATCTCGGAATTTACAACAACTTAACAAACTACCTTTCGCACTGTAGGGGTGAGAAAAAGAAAAACGAGAAGGGAAGTATACGCTTACATTTGCCTGCTAATGTAAAATTTAACCCGGTATAGTAGTACTCGACGCTTTTCACAAGAGAAATTGAAAGTCAAGTTGACTCGTTGATGTTTGTTCACTCCGAGCATATATCTCTCATATTCGCAGTAATGAAAGAACTTTCTCTTTTTTTCTGCTTCTCTCTCTCTCTCTCTCTCTCTCTCGCTCTCTCTCTCTCTCTCTCTCTTTCTGCCGTATTAAAAGTTTGAAAATTACGCGCTGTTGGGATTTTGTGCTGAGTTGTTACGGCAAATTGACGAGCCTAGCATTAGCTTACAAGGTGTTGCGCACGCGAGCTTTCGTTAAGTAAACAATGTGAGGGCATGACGAAGAGAAATTATACGAACTATACAATTGTATAACTGATTTACATGGTCGAAGGGAACAATCGATTTAATTATACTGAGTTTCACGAGTGCTGAGAATAATGTGAAATTGAGCTCTCAATTGTTCACTTTTTATTACAGATTATCTTTTTGAATGGTTGAAATCAAATTACATAACTGAACATGTCACTTTAAAGGATTTTTGCAAAGGAACATCGCAAGTTGTGTTATAAAATCACGCAGAACAAGCAAAGTTGCAATACGTTTGTCGGTCAGGAAATTCATTCATCCAATAGTTTTTACTCGATACACTTGGAAATAATAAATTTATAAATTACGAAACTATCCGAATTTATCTCGTTATTTCTTCTAAATATTGCAAACTTTAAGAAGAACAAACATAAATTGATTGTAAAATATTTGACCGCGGAATTCAAATAAAAAAGAAAATAGCCAGCGTGAGAGCGTCAATTCGATGATTAATCGGAGCGTCCTTGGAATGTGTTCGAGTAGAAATGTGAGTATATATATACACACACATAGATATATATATACACACACTTACATATATATACACACACACAGGGGAGCAAAATAAAAAAAAGTCTTTGCGTCGCCCTTTCTTCCCTTCTTCCCCTTCGTCACTGATGTAGGTGTAATTTATTCCCAAGGGTGTGGAGAGGGAGTTGCTATATTAGTCAATAGGTGCGTGATTTTATCAGTGCTATGCACAACAATTTCTCGAAATTGTTTCTGAAAATGTCGACGCAACATATTGCGTGTCATTTTTACCACATTTGAGCGTTTCAAAACTACTTCTGTTGGAATTTAAGATGTTTGATTGCAAAAATCACTAATTGTTTGACTGATTTAATGTCGACCTCTTTTTATGTTCATCTATGATTAGCCATTGAATAAAAGTCATATTGTCATCAGTTTGCGCACCTCAATAAATTCTTCATCGTAAGAAAGTAAGTCGTCTATAATATGAACAAGCCTTATCACTTACATCTA